TCGGCGGCAGCCTCGAGTAGGCTTCTCTTAAACAGCTGCCACTCGGTTTCAACATCAGTTGTCATCACTGTGTTTCCTATTATGTTATATTTTGCAGCCTACTTAATTACATAGTTCGGTAATTCTGTATAATGCTGATTTAATATAGTCTATAATTGATTACTTCGCATCCCGTTGTTTGGTCCCGTCCTTGGTTGAAACAGATGGTGACATTTGTTGCTGTGATATATGTGCTAAGTACTAATATTATCATGATATATAATTATGCTCCATTCGTCTTTTGCAAGTGTAGTGACAGTAAAGCTTAGGTCTTGCAACCCATTCGTTTTTGTCCATAAATATATGTATGGCAGTGTATTCGGTTTCGAGTCGGCCTCAGTATACTAGTTTTGTATGATCTGGTTCGGAGGAGAGAGCGAAGTCTGAAGTAATATAGTGTCTTTTGTTGCGGCGTCGAACTTTAGCACTTGAATACGGCATTCTAGGTGATAGCGAAGTTCAGCGGACAATGTTGGAATTGTTGAACCAGTTAGATGGTTTTGAAGCCACAAAGAACATCAAGGTGATCATGGCCACGAATCGAATTGACATTTTGGATCCGGCGTTACTTCGTCCTGGTCGAATCGACAGGAAGATTGAATTTCCTGCGCCTGACGAGACGGTAACAGTTATTCAAAACATTTTGTTACTTGCCTTAATACGTGTTTTTGTTGACTTTGTCATAGCGATTTTTGGCTGTATACTAAAAATGAAAATTCCCTATACAAGGCAGCACTTATAAATCATAGCAATCGTTTGTTACTTTTGTGAGACCATATTTACCGTTCAATTCAGCACCTCATATTCAACTGGTAGATCAAGTATTAATAATTAAATAAGCTTCAAAACTGTGTTGTCCAGGAAATTAATCCCTTTCACATTTAGTATTCTCTGTTCTAACTGGCCACCGAAATTTTTTTCAGTGCATTTACTACTTAGCGCGTTTCAGGCACGACTGGATATTCTTAAAATTCATTCGCGGAAAATGAACCTTACACGAGGCATCAACCTCCAGAAAATAGCAGAAGCGATGCCTGGTGCTTCTGGTGCGGAAGTCAAGGTATGCAAGTGCATGTATCATAAAGTTGCTTTTCAAAGAAATTGTTTCAGGCTGTTTGTACCGAGGCGGGAATGTACGCACTCAGAGAGAGGCGCATTCATGTCACACAAGAAGATTTCGAAATGGCCGTAGCCAAGGTACTGAATTTTATTGATGAATACAAGGGTTATAATGAAGTAGTAGAACAAAAATGTCTTGGTCCAAGGTCAACACAGGCACAAACATAAGTGGAAGGACAAATCCCTGAGATGGTATTGCCATAAAACATGAGATATCATTTTAATATTCGCTGTTAACCCGCTCTAAACTCGTTCCAAGCAAAGTGTAAGCGTTTTTGCTGAATGACAAATTTGCAGTTAGGATCTTATGTAAAATTTAAATTAATTGCTTATTTGAAGTCTTCTTATTTCATAATACTCGAGTCAGAGTTCATTAAAGCATTTGGTGCAACTTGTGTAAGCGAGGAATTAGGCTAAAACTTCTTTCAGAGATTTGGAATCTCACTGAATATTTCTATTATTTGATTTCTTTTATTAATTTATATTTTTTCGTTTATCTCGTCTTGTATGCATTTTTTCCTCTTTCATTTATGATTTTCATTTCCTTTCGCATTTTACTTTGCTGGTCTTGTATTTCTTCGTTACAAAGGTTTAATTATGTATC